ACTTGTAAGCAGTCAAGACTATACCATGTTATAAGATGCTTACTTTTGAACATGACGAGACCCTGCGTGCAGTCTATGCAATGGCGGATAATGCTCGAAAAGGTGGCAGATTCTGCTCGAAAAACAGTGAAATTGGCAGAACCATACAAACCTTATGGCCGGCAATTTCTGGAATTTTTTTCCATTTCTTTATCCACATACCAAACATGCATGAAGCTCACCAGAAAAAGTACCGAATTCTGCCAATTTTTCTGCCGGCATTATCCGCAAAGGCCTAGTACAGTGCAGTCAGGAAGGAGACATATAGGATCCTTCTCTGCGAAACAGACGAAATACCTGTATTCAGTTGAAAAGAAAGAGCATATAGGAAAACTAACTGGTACGGAGACGGGAAAACTATATGCAGTCATGCATAAGCCATATAGGAACTACTTTGTCTTAGCTGCAAATGGGACGTGTAATCTGTATGCAGTCTCGAAAGAGTTATTCTAGGAAACATTAACCAGCGAACAAGACAAAAACCTGTATGAGGTCAAGAAAGAGCAATATAGGATACTTACATGCGAACAAGACAAGGCACCTGTAGACATCCATGAAAGATCAATGAGGGTAACTCACCTGGGAGCAAGCCATGAAACTTGTATGTAGCCATCAAATATGAAAAAAGGAAACCTCTGCCGGCACAGAAACAAAACACTTGTATGCAGTCAAGAAAACACAATAATAATAGGAAGCTTACGTTTGAAGATGACGGGGACCTGTAAGAAGTTGGGAAGGAGTAATAGTTATAGGAACCTTCTCTCCCAAACAGGCGAAATACCTGTATGCAGTAACGAGAGAGCATGGTGAAAACTGAACTTAGAACAAGACCGGACAACGGTATGCAGTCAAAAAAAGAGCTATTTATACAGTCGACTTTGCTTATAAAGACCCTCGGCGCGGCGCGACATCAGGAACGTGTCCTACGCGAAGTGTCCTTACACCCGAAGTCTCATTATGTATTCCAGCAGCACACGTAGTCCTCTTTTGACATTGTCCACGGAAGTGTTGGCAATGTACAGTCATGTGTGTGGGTCCTTGATTCTGCGCAGGGCGTCGTGAAGCCCTATAAACTACACCTGGGAACGCCAGGCTGCGAAATGGTGCAAGGCGCAAATTTGCGTGCCATCATTGGATTTCACTCTGCAAGAACAAAGAGAAAAATGGACCTCCAGCGGAGAACAAAGCAGCTACCTGCACTGAGCCCCATATTCACAGTCGTCACGTTTAGCTGTGGATTCCTGCAATGACACCTACCCTTCACTGTTCTTTCTCAGGCGGTAGAACGCACGTTATGGCAAGTATCCAGAACCATTGTCGACGTCACATAAGAATCCAAAGTGCCACAGGAGTGATATTTGGTACAGCACTGCACTTGCACTTTCTATTACTTTCTATCACTCCTCTTTTACGCCATGCTCCGCTATAGTATCTCAGATGGAATCACCAGAGCTACTGCGCTCCCACACGTCCACCACCAACTACTAGTGGCCCGTATTGACATCAACAATGATAACTTAGCTCACAACAAGACGGGGAAAGTGTATGCAGGCCAACAGGAGCTATTATAGGATCTTACCTGTCAAAAGGCGTTACATCTGTATGCAGTCTCGAAAGAGACATCATTGGAAACTTCTACCTGTAAACAAGACAAATATACCAGTATTAAGTCAAGCAAGAGTAATATATGAAACCCTCTAGCTGCGAACCAGACAAGAAGCCTGTATTCAATGATGTAGAAAGAGCAAAAGAGCAAAAACTTGCACATGGAAAGACTCGAAACTTGTATACAGCTATGGAATATGAACATTTATAGGAAACATCTGCAACACAAGGCAAGACACTTGTATTCAGTTAGGAAAAAGAATTATAGCACTCTGAACTGAGAACATTACGAAAAACTGCAGTGTGTTCTTTCAAGAAAGAGCTGGAAAGGAAACGTACCTGTGAACAAGACGAGACACCGTAGGCTCTTATTTCCAGTCCAGAAAATGCTGTATAATAAACGTACCAGCGAGAAAAACAAGAGACCTGTAGGCAGTCAATAAAATACAATAATTATAAGAAGCTGACCTGTGAAGAAGAGGAGAAGCATGTGTGCAATCAAGAAAGAGTAAAATTGGAACCTTGTCCGCGAAAAAGGCGAGAAACCTGTATGCAGTAACGAAAGAGCATACAGAAAACGTAACTGAGACCGAGACGGGAAAACTGTATGCAGTCAAGGAAGAGCAGTAAAGGAAACTTACCTGCGAATAAGACAGAGAAAACCGTATGCAGTCTCGAAAGCGTCATAATTATACTGGTAGGAAACGTGTACCTGCGAACAAGAGAGCAATATGAGTATTAATATGAGTGCTCTAGTTGATTCAAATGGGGGTAAAAACACAAAAAACACCTGGCATAGTGGCAGTATGGCGGTAAATACATACCTGCCCTCACACGCTCTCTAACTGCAAAGTTATTCTACCACAGAGCTCCTGTTCTCACCACAATCACACCATCAGTTCTCGCCTTTTTCGAAGGTAGAGTACTCAAGAGATACGTAGTTAGTTGAAGACACCAATGCAGCAGTACTTATGGTTGATTCAACTGTTGATAAAACACACACCTGGCGGTATGGCCCAGCCTGCTATGTCGGGTACCGCCAGCCATGCATCGACTAGGCACCAAACCCAAACTGATGGTGTGATGACGGTGGTGGTGGTGAGAAGGAGAGCTCTGTGCTAGAATAACTTTGTAGCCTAGAGAGCGTGTGAGGGCAAGTATGTATTTACCGCCATACTGCCACTATGCCAGGCAAAAGTTTCCTATTTTCAATATTATTTCATGGCTCGAAACAGGATTATTCTCTTGCTCACAGGTAAGTTCCCTTCATTGATCTTTCATGACTGTATACAGGACTGGTGTCTTGTCTTGTTGCCAGGACAGTTTCCTATTTTGCTCTTTCTACATGATTGAATACAGGCTTCTTGTCTGGTTCGCAGCTAGAGGGTTTCACATATTACTCGTTCTTGACATAATACTGGTATATTTGTATTGTTTACAGGTAGAAGTTTCAAGTCCATGACAGTCCATTGCACGCGGCCAGGCTTAGAGCGACAAGGCGGGCCGGCGCTTAGAGCCCGCGCTCAGAGCCTGCGCTAAGAGCCGGCGCTCAGAGCCGGCGCTCAGAGCCGGCGCTCAGAGCCGGCGCTCAGAGCCGGCGCTTAGAGCGGCCTGGCGAGCGGCCAGGTGAGCGGCCAGGCGAGCGGCCTGGCGAGCCGGCGCTCAAAGCCGAGCGGCCAGGCGAGCGGCCAAGGGAGCGGCCAGGGGAGCGGCCAGGCGAGCGGTCAGGCGAGCGGGAAGGCGAGCGGCCCGGCGAGAGGACAGGCGAGCGGCCATGCGAGAGGCCAGGCGAGCCGGCGCTCAGAGCCGGCGCTCAGAGCCGGCGCTCAAAGACGGCGGTCAAAGCCGAACGGCCAGGCGAGCGGCCAGGCGAGCGGCCAGGCGAGCCTGCGCTCAGACCCGGCGCTCAAAACCGGCGCTCAAAGCCGGCGTTCAGAGCCGGCACTCAAAGCCAGCGCTCAGAGCCGGCGCTTTGAGCCGGCGCTCAGAGCCGGCGCCGAGCGGCCAGGGGAGCGGCCTGGCGAGCCGGCGCGCAAAGCCGAGCAGCCAGGCGAGCGGCCAGGGGAGCGGCCAAAGGGAGCGGTCAGGCGAGCGGCCAGGCGAGCGGCCCGGCAAGCGGCCAGGCGAGCGGCAAGGCGAGCGGCCAGGCGAGCGGCCAGGCGAGCGGCCAGGCCAGCGGCCAGGCGAGCGGCCAGGCGAGCGGCCAGGCGAGCGGCCAGGTGAGCGGCCAGGCAAGCGGCCAGGCGAGCGGCCAGGAGAGGCCAGGCGAGCGGCCAGGCGAGCGGCCATGCGAGCGGTCAGGCGAGTGGCCATGCGAGCGGCCAGCCGAGCCACCAGGCGAGCGGCCAGGCGAGCGGTCAGGCGAGCGGCCAAGCGAGTGGCAAGGCGAGCGGCTAGGCGAGCGGCCAGGCGGGCGGCCAGGCGAGCGGCCAGGTGAGCCGGCGCTCGGAGCCTACGCTCAGAGCCGGCGCCGAGAGCCGGCGCTCGGAGCCGGCGCTCGGAGCCGGCGCTCAGAGCCGACGCTCAGAGACAGCGCTCAGAGCCGGCGCTCAAAGACGGCGGTCAAAGCCGAACGGCCAGGCGAGCGGCCAGGCGAGCGGCCAGGCGAGCAGCCAGGCGAGCCTGCGCTCAGACCCGGCGCTCAAAACCGGCGCTCAAAGCCGGTGCTCAGAGCCGGCGTTCAGAGCCGGCACTCAAAGCCAGCGCTCAGAGCCGGCGCTTTGAGCCGGCGCCGAGCGGCCAGGCGAGCGGCCAGGGGAGCGGCCTGGCGAGCCGGCGCGCAAAGCCGAGCAGCCAGGCGAGCGGCCAGGGGAGCGGCCAAAGGGAGCGGTCAGGCGAGCGGCCAGGCGAGCGGCCCGGCAAGCGGCCAGGCGAGCGTCCAGGCGAGCGGCCAGGCGAGCGGCCAGGCGAGCGGCCAGGCGAGCGGCCAGGCGAGCGGCCAGGCGAGCGGCCAGGCGAGCGGCCAGGCGAGCGGCCAGGCGAGCGGCCAGGCGAGCGGCCAGGCGAGCGGCCAGGCGAGCGGCCAGGCGAGCGGCCAGGAGAGAGGCCAGGCGAGCGGCCAGGCGAGCGGCCAGGCGAGTGGCCATGCGAGCGGCCAGCCGAGCCACCAGGCGAGCGGCCAGGCGAGCGGTCAGGCGAGCGGCCAAGCGAGTGGCCAGGCGGGCGGCCAGGCGAGCGGCCAGGTGAGCCGGCGCTCGGAGCCGGCGCTCAGAGCCGACGCTTCGAGACAGCGCTCAGAGCCGGCGCTCAAAGACGGCGGTCAAAGCCGAACGGCCAGGCGAGCGGCCAGGCGAGCAGCCAGACGAGCCGGCGCTCAGACCCGGCGCTCAAAACCGGCGCTCAAAGCCGGTGCTCAGAGCCGGCGTTCAGAGCCGGCGCTCAGAGCCGGCGCTCAGAGCCGGCGCTCAGAGCCGGCGCTTTGAGGCGGCGCTCAGATCCGGCGCCGAGCGGCCAGGCGAGCGGCCCGGCGAGAGGCCATGCGAGCGGCCAGGTTGAGCGGCCAGGCGAGCAGCCAGGCGAGCGGCTAGGCAAGCCGACGCTCAGAGCCGGCGCTCAGAGCCGGTGCTCAGAGCTGTCGCTCACAGCCGGCGCTGAAAGCGGGCGCTCAATGCCGAGCTGCCAGCCGAGCCACCAGGCGAGCGGCCAGTCAAGCGGCAATACGAGCGGCAAGGCGAGCGACCAGGCGAGCGGCCAAGCGAGCGGCGCTCCGAGCCGAGCCGAGCGGCCAGGCGATCGGCCAGTGGAGCAGCTAGGCGAGCGGCCAGGCGAGCGACCAGGTGAGCGTCCAGGCGAGCGTCCAGGCGAGCGGGGTTCAGAGCCGGCGCTCAGAGCCGGCGCTTAGAGTGACCAGGCAGGCGGCCAGGCGAGCAGCCAGGCAAGCCGGCGCTTAGAGCCTGCGCTCAGAGCCTGCGCTAAGAGCCTGAGCTAAGAGCCTGAGCTAAGAGCCGGCGGTCAGAGCCGGCGCTCTGAGCCGGCGCTTAGAGCGTCCAGGCGAGCGGCCAGGCAAGCGGCCAGGCGAGCGGCCAGGCGAGCGACCAGGCGAGTGGCCTGGCGACGCTCAGAGCCGGCGCTCACAGCTGAGCAGCCAGGCGAGGGTCTATGCGAGCGACCAGGCGAACAGCCAGGCGAGCCGGCGATCAGAGCCGGAGCTCAGAGCTGGCGCTCACAGCCGGCGCTCAGAGCCGGCGCTAAGAAGTGGCGCTCAAAGACGAACGCCCAGCCGAGTTGCCAGGCGAGCGGCCAAGCGAGAGGCCAGGCGAGCGCCCAGGCGAGCAGCCAGATGAGCGGCCAGGCGAGAAACAGGCGATCGGCCAGGCTAGCGGCCAGGCGAGCCGGCGCTCAAAGCCGGCGCTCAGGGCCTGTGCTCAGAGCCAGCGCTCAGAGCCTGCGCTCAAGTCCAGTGCTCAAAGCCGGCGCTCAAAGCCTAACTGCCAGCCGAGCGGCAAGGTGAGCGGCCAGGCGAGCGGCCAGGCGAGCGGCCAGGCGAGCGGACAGGCGAGCGGCCCGGCGAGCGGAGAGGCGGGCGGCAATGCGAGCCGGCGCTCAGAGCAGGCGCACATAGCCGGCGCTCACAGCCGGCGCTCACAGCCGGCCTTCAGAGCCGGCGCTCAAAGCCAAGCGGCCAGGCGAGTGTCCAGGAGTGCGGCCAGGGGAGCGGCCAGGCGAGCGGCCAGGCGAGCGACCAGTCGAGCTTCCAGGCGAGCGGCCGGGCGAGCCGGCGCTCAGAGCCAGCGATCAGAGCCGGCGCTAAGAGCCGGCGCTCATAGCCTGCGCTCAAATCCTGTGGTCGAAGCTAGCGCTCAAAGCCTAACGGCCAGCTGAGCGGCAAGGCGAGCGGCCAGGCCAGCAGCCAGGTGAGCGGCCAGGCGAGCGGCCAGGAGAGCGGCCAGGCAAGCGACCAGGTGAGCGGGCAGGCGAGCGGCCAGGCGAGCAGCCAGGCGAGCGGGCAGGCGAGCGGCCAGGCGATCGGCATTGCGAGCGGCAAGGCGGCCTGGCGCTCAGAGCCGGCGCTCAGGTCTGGCGCTCAGAGCCGGCACTTAGAGCCGGCGCTCAAAGACGAGCGGCCAGCCGAACGGCCAGGCGAACGACAAGGCGAGCGGCCAGGCGAGGGGCCAGGCGAGGGGCCAGGCGAGCGACAAGGTGAGCGGCCAGGTGAGCGGCCAGGGGAGCGGCCAAGCGAGCGGCCAGACGAGCGGCAAGGCGAGCGGCCAGGCGAGCGGCCAGGCAAGCGGCCAGGCGAGCGCCCAGGCGGGCAGCCAGGCGAACGGGAAGGCGAGCGGACAGGCGAGACGGCGCTCAAAGCCGGCGCTCAGAGCCGGCGCTCAGGGCCGGCGCTCAGAGCCGGCGATCAGAGCCGGCGCTCAGAGCCTGCGCTCAAATCCACTGCTCAAAGCCGGCGCTCAAACCCGAACGGCCAGCCGAGCGCCATGGCGAACGGCCAGGCGAGCGGCCAGGCGAGCGGCCAGATGAGCGGCCAGGCGAGCGGCCAGGCGAGCGGCAATATGAGCGGCCAGGCGAGCCGGCGCTCAGAGCAGGCACACAAAGCCGGCGCTCACAGCCGGCGCTTACAGCCGGCCTTTAGAGCCGGAGGTCGACGCCAAAGGGCCAGGCGAGCGGCCAGGCGCGCGGCCAGGCGAGCCGGCGCTCAAAGCCGGCGCTCAAAGCCGAGCCGAGCGGTCAGGTGAGCGGCCAGGCGAGCGGCCAGGCGAGCGGCAAGGCGAGCGGCAAGGCGAACGTCAGGGCGAGCGGCCAGGCGAGCCGGCGCTCAAAGCCGGCGCTAAGAGCAGGCGCTCAGACCCGGCGCTCAGAGCCGGCGCTCAGAGCCGCCGCTCAGAGCCGGCGCTCAATGCCGCCGCTCAGAGCCGGCGCTCAAAGCCGGCGCTCAGAGCCGGCGCTCAAAGCCGGCGCTAAAAGACGAGCGGCCAGCCGAGCGACCAGGCGAGCGGCCAGGCGAGGGGCCAGGCGAGCGGGGAGGCGAGCGGCCAGGCGAGCGTCGAGGCGAGCGTCCAGGAGAGCGGCCAGGCGAGCGGCCAGGCGAGCCGGCGCTCAGAGCCGGGGCTCAAAGCCGGCGCTCAGAGCCGGCGCACAGAGCCTGCGCTCAAATCCGGTACTCAAAACCGGCGCTTAGAGCCTCACGGCCAGCCGAGTGGCAAGGCGAGCGGACAGGCGAGCAGCCAGGCGAGCGGCCAGGGGAGAGGCCAGGCGAACGGCCAGGCGAGCGGCCAGGCGAGCGGCCAGGCGAGAGGCCAGGCGAGCGGCATTGTGAGCAGCCAGGCGGGACGGCGCCGAGAGCCAGCGCTCAAGTCCGGCGCTCAGAGCCGGCGTTCAGAGCCGGCGCTGAGAGTCGATGCTGAAAGACGAGCGGCCAGGCGAACGACGTGGCAAGCGACCAGGCAAGCGACCAGGCGAGCGGCTAGGCGAGCGGCCAGGCAAGCGGCCAGGCGAGCGGCCAGGCGAACGGCCAGGCGAGCGGCCAGGCGAGCGGCAGGGCGAGCGGCAAGGCGAGCGGCCAGGCGAGCGGCCTGGCGAACGGCCATGCGAGCGGCCAGGCGAGCGGCCAGGCGAGCGGCAAGGCGAGCGGCCAGGCGAGCCGGCGCTCAAAGCCGGCGCTCAGAGCCGGCGCTCAGGGCCGGTGCTCAGAGCCGGCGCTCAGAGCCTGCGCTCAAGTCCAGTGCTCAAAGCCGGCGCTCAAAGCCAAACGGCCAGCCGAGCGGCTCAAAGCCGGCGCTTAAAGACGAGCGGCCAGGCGAACGACCAGGCGAGCAACCAAGCAAGCGGCGAGGCGAGCGGCCAGGCGAGCGGCCAGGCGAGCGGCTAGGCGAGCGGCCAGGCGAACGGCCAGGCAAGCGGCCAGGCGAGCGGCCAGGCGAGCGGCCCGGCGAGCGGCCATGCGAGCGGCCAGGCGAGCGGCCAGGCGAGCGGCAAGGCGTGCGGCAAGGCGCGCCGCCAGGCGCTCAAAGCCGGCGCTCAGAGCCGTCGCTCATGGCCAGTGCTGAGAGCCCGCGCTTAGAGCCTGCACTCAAGTCCAGTGCTCAAAGCCGGCGCTCAAAGCCTAACGGCCAGCCGAGCGTCAAGGCGAGCGGCCAGGCGAGCGGCAAGGCGAGCGGCCAGGCGATCGGACAGGCGAGCGGGAAGGCGGGCGGCAATGCGAGCGGCCAGGCGAGCCGGCACTCAGAGCAGGCGCACAGAGCCAGCGCTAACAGCCTGCGCTCACAGCCGGCTTTCAGAGTCGGCGCTCAAAGCCAAGCGGCCAGGCGAGCGGCCAGGCGCGCGGCCAGGCGAGCCGGCGCTCAGAGCCGGCACTCAAAGCCGGCGCTCGAAGCCAAACGGCCAGCCTAGCGGCTAGGCGAACAGCCAGGCGAGCGGCCAGGCGAGCGACCAGGCCAGCAGCCATGCGAGAGGCCAGGCGAACGGCCAGGCGAGCGTCCAGGCGAGCGTCCATGCGAGAGTCCAGGCGAGCGGCCAGGCGAGCCGGTGCTCAAAGCCGGCGCTCAGAGCAGGCGCTCAGAACCGACGCTCAGAGCCGGCGCTCAGAGCCACACTCAGAGCCGGTGCTCAGAGCCGGCGCTCAAAGCCGAGCGGTCAGCCGAGCGGCCAGGCGAGCGGCCAGGCGAGCCGGCGTTCAGAGCCGGCGCTCAGAGCCGGCGCTCACAGTTTTCGCTCAAATCCGGTGCTCAAAGTCGGCGCCTAAAGCCTAACGGCCAGCCGAGCGGAATGGCGAGCGGCCAGGCGAGCGGCCAGGCGAGCGGCCAGGCCAGCGGACAGGCGAGCGGCCAGGCGAGCGGCAAGGCGAGCAGCAAGGCTAGCGGCCAGGCGAGCGGCCAGGCGAGCGGCCAGGCGAGTGGCCAGGCAAACCGGAGCTCAGAGCCCGCGCTCAGAGCTGGCGCTCAGAGCCGGCGCTCAGAGCCGGCGCTCAGAACCGGCGCTCATAGCCGGCGCTCAGAGCCAGCGAGCGACCAGGCGAGCGGCCAGGCGAGCGGCCAGGGGAGCGGCCAGTCGAGCGACCAGGCGAGCGGTCAGGCGGGCGGCTAGGCGAGCCGGCGCTTAGAACCGGCGCTCAGAGCCAGCGCTCAAAGCCGGTGCTCAGAGACGGCGCTCAGAGACTGCGCTCAAATCCAGTGCTCTAAGCCGGCGCTCAAAGCCTAACGGCCAACCGAGCGGCATGGCGAGCGGCCAGGCGAGCGGCCAGGAGAGCGGCCAGGCGAGCGGCCGGGCGAGCGGCGAGGCGTGCGGCAATATGAGCGGCCAGGCGAGCCGGCGCTCAGAGCCGGCGAGCCGCCGCTCAAAGCCGGCGCTCAGAGCCGGCGCTCAGAGCAGGCGCACAAAGCCGGCACTCAGAGCCGGCGCTTACAGCCGGCCTTCAGAGCCGGCGCTCGAAGCCAAGGGGCCAGGCGAGCGGCCAGGCGAGCAGCCAGGCGCGTGGCCAGGCGAGCGGCCAGGCGCGTGGCCAGGCGAGCCGGCGCTCAAACCCGAGCCGAGCGGCCAGGCGAACGGCCAGGCGAGCGACCAGGCGAGCGGCCAGGTGAGCGGCCAGGCGAGCGGTCAGGCGAGCGGCAAGGCGAGCGGCCAGGCGAGCGTCCAGGCGAGCGGCCAGGCGAGCCGGCGCTCAAAGCCGGCGCTAAGAGCAGGCGCTCAGACCCGGCGCTCAGAGCCGGCGCTCAAAGTCGGCACTCAGAGCCGGCGCTCAGAGCCGCCGCTCAGAGCCGGTGCTCAGTGCCGCGGCTCAGAGCCGGCGCTCAAAGCCTGTGCTCAAAGACGAGCGGCCAGCCGAGCGGCCAGGCGAGCGGCTAGGCGAGCGGCCAGGCGAGCAGGGAGGCGAGCGTCTAGGCCAGCGTCCAGGCCAGCGTCCAGGCGAGCGACCAAGCGAGCGGCCAGGCGAGCCGGCGATCAGAGCCGGCGCACAGAGCCTGCGCACAAATCCGGTGCTCAAAGCCGGCGCTCAAAGCCTAACGGCCAGCCGAGAGGCCAGGCGAGAGGCCAGGCGAGCGGCCAGGCGAGCGGCCAGGCGAGAGGCCAGGCGAGCGACCATGCGAGCGGCCAGGCAAGCGGCCAGGCGTGCGGCCAGGCGGGCCGGCACCCAGAGCCAGCGCTCAGGTCCGGCGCTGAGAGCCGGCGTTCAGAGCCGGAGCTCGAAGACGAGCGGCCAGGCAAACGACCAGGCGAGCGGCCAGGCGAGCGGCCATGCGAGCTGCTAGGCGAGCGGCCAGGCGAGCGGCCAGGCGAGCGGCCCGGCGAGCGGCCATGCGAGCGGCCAGGCGAGCGGCCAGGCGAGCGGCCAGGTGAGCGGCAAGGCGAGCGGCCAGGCGAGCCGGCGCTCATAGCCGGCGCTTAGGGTTGGTGCTCAGAGCCGGCGCTCAGAGCCTGCGCTCAAGTCCAGTGCTCAAAGCCGGCGGTCAAAGCCTAACGGCCAGCCGAGCGGCAAGGCGAGCGGCCAGGCGAGTGGCCAGGCGAGCGGCCAGGCGAGCGGCCAGGCGAGCGGCAATGCGAGCGGGCAGGCGGGCGGCAATCCGAGCGGCCAGGCGAGCCGGCGCTCAGAGCAGGCGCTAGGAGCCGGCGCTCACAGCAGGCGCTCACAGCCAGCCTTCAGAGCCGGCGGTCAAAGCCAAGCGGCCAGGCGAGCGGCCAGGCGAGCGGCCAGGCGAGCGGCTAGGCGAGCGGCCAGGCGAGCGGCCAGGCGAGCGGCCAGGCGAGCGGCCAGGCGAGCGGCCAGGCGAACGGCCAGGCGAGCGGCCAGGCGAGCGGCCAGGCGAGTGGCCAGGCGAGCAGCCAGGCGAGCGGCAATGCGAACAGCCAGGCGAACTGCAAGGCGAGCCGGCGCTCAGAGCCGGCGCTCAGAGCAGGCGCACAAAGCCGACGCTCAGAGCCAGCGCTCATAGCCGGCGCTCACAGCCGGCGTTCAGAGCCGGCGCTCATAGCCGGCGCTCTAAGGCGGCGCTCTGAGCCGTCGCTCAGAGCCGGCGCTCAAAGCCGGCGTTCAAAGACGAGCGGCCAGCCGAGCGGCTAGGCAAACCCCAGGCGAGCGGCCAGGCGAGCGGCTAGAGCCGAGCGGTCAGCCGAACGGCCAGGCGAGCGGCCAGGCGAGCGGCCATGGGAGCGGCCAGGCGAAGCGGCGCTCACAGCCGGCGGTCAGAGCCCGCGCTCAAAGACGAGCGGCCAGGCGAGCGGCAAGGCGAGCGGCCACGCGAGCCGGCGCTCAGAGACGGCGCTCAGAGTCGGCGCTCAGAGCCGGGGCTCAGGTCCTGCGCTCAGAGCCGGTGCTCACACCCAGCGCTCAGAACCGTCGCTCAGAGAGAGCCGGCGCTCAGAGCCGGCGCTCAAAGAAGACCGGCCAGTCAAGCGGCCAGGCGAGCGACCAGGCGAGCGACCAGGCGAGCGGCCTGGCGAGCGGCCAGGCGAGCGGCCTGGCGAGCGGCCAGGCGAGCGGCCAGGCGAGCAGCGAGGAGAGCGGCCAGGAGAGCGGCCAGGCGAGCCGGTGCTCAGAGCCGGCGCTCAAAGCCTAACAGCCGGCCAAGCGGCCAGGCGAACGGCCAGGCGAGCGGCCAGGCGAGTGGCCAGGCGAGCGACCAGGCGAGCGGCCAGGCGAGCGGCCAGGCGAGCGGCCAGGCGAGCGGCCATGCGAGCGGCAAGGCGAGCGGCCAGGCGAGCCGACGCTCAGAGCCGGCACACAGAGCCGGCCCTCACAGCC